TTTCCTTTCTGGGGTATCAGAATGGGGCATCAACAAACGAGGAAATGAAAATTAGCATTCTGCTAGAGTGACCTCCCGCCCCCTTCAAAAAAAAAAAAAAAAAAAAGGAAAAGCGATCAGCGCAAGGGCTGTTAAGGCGTATCCTTCCCAAAGTGGGCAAGTATTATGGCTGGTTGCAAAAAAAAAAAAAAAAAAAAAAAGAAACACAATGGAGGAAAGGGAAAAGGAAGCATGTTTGAAACATACATTTATGTTCCGCCAAAGCGCCCTACTGGGGCATTCGCGCCAATCGGCCAAGTCCGCTAAACTTACCCTCTCCGACCCGCGTGCATATTTTCCCTCCCCATGCCCCGAAGAAGAGAGTTAGGAAAATGCATTCCCCTACCACATGAGACTAGCCGGCGCACCACACTGTGTGTGCATTTTTGGCGCTCCTACACAAGACCGTGGGGACGCGGTACCACGACGCACTATCACCTGTATTTTCCCGCGCTCTCGCATTACCGTTATGCATTATATGGACCACATGCCTCTTAGATGCGCACGAACCCTTTGTGTGCTCGAATGTTCCCCCAATTTGCCCAGCTGCGTATATGGCATGGCATGCCGCGCCGGCGCCCCGACCGCGTCACCCTCAAAAAGAGAAGAAGCACTACATCTCAGTCGAGGAGAGGAAGAGACCCTTAACCCACATTAAAGCAGATGTTTTTAAAAAAAAAAAAAAAAAAAAAAAAAAAAAATGAACCTCATAATATATTTAATAATCGCGTAAGGCAAATCAGTTCGACGTCCCCCACTAGCATATAAAATGCTTTTTTAGCGAAAGTGGGTCTCATGCCGTTTGTGTTCGCATCTGCACCAAGATAAACGCGTCCGACAGTGATATTAAACCAAAATTTGAAGAGAGCATCGCCCCCTGGATTACATATAAACGCGTCCCTGCGCGCGCCGCGGTTAAGAAGTCTCCAGGGGATTTTTTTTTTTTTTTTTTTTCATTTTTTACCATTCTTTTTTTTTTTTTTTACTTTTTTCCCGGTCCGTAACACTACATCGCTTCTTTCTCGAATCATCAGCCACGTCCTGGCAGCGACCCATTTTGGAAACTTCTGCTGCGTGGGATCTCGTCCCCCAGGAGCGAACAATAGCGACGTGGCGCGGCGAACGGGAAGGACAGGCCAAAGCAGATGTCTCACATGTGCCAAACACCTCCCAGACGAAGCATTTGGTTCCCCTCCCGTTCAGCCCGTTTTTTAAATTCTCGCTCCATCGCGTTGAGCAGAAGAGGGAGAAGTAACCCCACGCGAGCCCATTCCACAGGAGAGTCTGCCTCAAGTAAATAACCGTCCGTGCAGTTATCCCCCCCGTAGCGCCGCACATACATAGAAGCGTGCGTACTTTTGGCCAGAAGGCGAACTACCCCCCCCCGTGAGACGATGGCGAACGGGTGGCCCGCGGAGAAGATTTTCGGGGACGTCATGTCCTACACGTACGATGATATCATTTGCCTTCCTGGTTACATCAATTTTCCAATGAGCGAAATCGACCTGTGCAACAACTTAACTCCAAACATATCTCTGAAGACGCCGGTCATATCTTCCCCCATGGACACAGTGACGGAGCATAAAATGGCCATTTCGCTAGCTCTATGTGGAGGGCTGGGAATCATTCACAATAACATGAGTATAGAGAATCAAATAGAAGAAGTGAAAAAGGTGAAGAGATTTGAAAATGGATTCATATTTGATCCCTATACATTTTCCCCAGAACACACAGTGGCAGATGTAATTGCAACCAAAAATGAAGTTGGGTATAAATCATACCCCATAACAGTAGATGGAAAAGTGGGTTCTAAATTAGTTGGGATCATTACAGGGGTGGACTATCTCTACCTTACAGATCAAACAAAAAAAATAAAAGACATCATGACGACGGAAGTTGTGACAGGAAAATATCCCATTAATCTATCTGATGCAAATAAAGTTTTGTGTGAAGAAAAAAAAAGCGTCCTGCCAATTGTTAATAATAATTATGAATTAATAGCTCTTGTGTGCAGAAATGACATGCACAAAAATAAAATTTTCCCACATGCTTCTAAAAGCCAAAATAAACAACTCATTGTTGGAGCTTCCATATCGACCAGGGAACATGACCTAGAGAGAGCCAACCAGCTCATAAAGAACATGATTGATGTGATTTGTATTGACTCATCACAAGGTAATAGCATATACCAAATTGACACTATTAAAAAATTAAAAGCAGCTCACCCGGATATACCCATCATTGGAGGAAATGTGGTTACTTGTGATCAAGCAAAAAATTTAATAGATGCAGGAGCTGATGTGTTAAGAATTGGTATGGGTAGCGGTTCTATTTGTACCACGCAAGATGTATGTGCCATTGGAAGAGCTCAAGGCACAGCTGTGTATCATGTAAGTAATTATGCACACACGAGAAATATTAAAACTATCGCTGATGGAGGAATTAAAAATTCTGGTAATATCGTTAAAGCTTTATCCTTTGGTGCAGACTTTGTCATGATGGGTAACCTCTTAGCTGCAACGGAAGAAAGTTGTAGTGACTACTATTTTGAAAATAATGTGCGTCTGAAAATATATAGAGGAATGGGTAGCATGGAAGCCATGTATAATAAAGGATTTAATTCCAAGAGTAGATACCTCGTAGAAGAAAGGAAAAATGATGCACTCTGTGATCAAAATGAAGAAATAAAAGTTTCGCAAGGGGTATCAGCTAGCTTAGTGGATAAAGGATCTGTTCTCAAATTGATTCCTCATCTGTTTAAGGCTGTGAAACATGGCTTCCAAAGCATGGGTATTAGGAACATACCTGAACTGCACTCCAGATTGTACTCGGGGGACCTCAAATTTGACGTGCGTTCCTTCAACACCATTAAGGAAGGACGCATAAGCGACAATCTTATATTCACAAATAAGAAGTTCACGCCGTGAAGTGGCGGGGGGGGGGAAGCAAGCCATCCGGGAGAACACAGCTACATATGTGCACTGTCACCATGCATACCCTTTTTTTTATTAGTGTAACACACGTGTGGGACCCTCCGGTGTTTCACTTTATACACATATATATACCCCCCCGGGAGTGAACCAAGTGAAGGAGAATGAAGGACTTTTATTTACATCCCTCCCCTTTCGCGCATACACCGTGCGCATCTCGTGCGGAAAGGCAACAAAAAAAAAAAAAAAAAAAAAAAAAATGAATCAGTTATAACTCCAATTTGACGATGCGGTGTATTTAGGACACATCACATAACACAAGCTAACATCATACGTGACAGTGGTTCTTCATTTTTTTTTTTTTTAACGCGAACGCATTTTTTTTTTCTTTTTTATTTTTTTTGACAACAATTATAAGCGGATCAATTTGGCTACACACACACATACACGTGCGTAGAATGAATTTACAAAACAAAAAAAGAGCGTTATTTTCACGGCCCCCCACGTGCTTACTGGGTGTACGTTCCTCTCATTTTGGAGGAGTCACTTGGATGTTGCCACGTAGACATGGTTATGCGGCTCTTTTTTTGTGTAAAAACAAAAAATAAACATCACATTAGGTTTCATTTAAGATAAAAAGAAGCAAAAAGGTTGTCATTTACCACTGGTAGGAGAACACCCCCACTCAAAAGGGTAAATTCAAATAGGAACAAAGCAGTTCGGCGAGTTCGCTTCATCGCCCTCAAACAGCCAACTGCCTAACCGTGGTACCTCCGTTTGGCTATGTTCCTTTTTTTTTTGTCTGTCTTTTCTTAAATCGCCACCCAGCGTGAAACGATCCCGCGAGATGCATGTCGCCAACATGAAAAAGGATTGTTAGAAAATTTTTCAAACAAAGTTTGCGAATTGAAATAATGTAAGCACAAATAAAATAATGGAACAGTTCAGCCTTTTGCGACAGCAGGCGGGGGAATAAACACTTATGGAAGAGCAGTGCGCTAAAATAAAAATAAAATGAAACATACCAGCACGTTTGGAAGCCACCAGAACAACAAGAATGGAAAAAATTGCGCGGTAACAACACACCACTTCGCAACAGTGGAGGAAGCGGGGCAACTTCCCGCGACATGGACCCACACTGCAGTTATGCGCGTTAATTCTTGTTAGTTGCAACGAGGGGTGGGTACCCGTTCACATCAACATTTCGTGCATTCTCATATAAGGCAACCACAATATGTACAAAACAAATAGACGCGGAAATCGCGTCGCACGTCAATGGGTGTCTATACCATATGGAGAAAAATGCATCTCATCGCTTGGTACGACCACCCGCGCAAAACATTACAAAATTGAAAAAAATTATGAACAGGCAAGGTGAAATGGCACTGTGTGACTTCCATTTTGGCTAGCTCCACAAAAAAAAAAAAAAAAAAAAAAAAAAAAAAAAAGCGTGAGCGGACCCCAATCAGAAGGAAGACTCCCTTTTATTCAACGAGTACACATTAGCGCGGGATAATACGCCCACACAATGGAGCAAAATAGAGAGTACAACAAGGGGGGGAATGAGGGAAAGATAGAGAGAACAAAAAAAAAAAAGGTACAATACAACGCGAAGGGCAATGTGTAACACGCCAGGGGTTACTGTTCGCGCACCCCCGCTCAATGGTTCGCCTGGACCATCTTAACCACCCAGGTGTCTACATAACCAACGAGCTTCTTATAATACATTTCGTCGTACTTGTAGTACAGAGACAAGGAGGGGAAGAAAATGGAGGAGTCGTCCGGAATGGTTTTGTCTTTGTCGGCATTCTTATCAAAATGCTTCATGACGTGTGCATCAATATGGTCGTACATCAAGTTGATGTTTTTTTTATTTATAAAAATAATTTTCTTCAATGTGTGATTATCGATAAACATATTAAAAAGGGACCAAACTTTTTTAAAAAAGGTGGGGACATTTATAATATAAATTCTGTACAGAACATCCGTGTAAAATTCGTTAAAAATGTTAATAATTTTTTTAATGCAATCCACGCTGATCATATTATTTAATTCAAATTTTTGGCAGTCCACAATGATTACTAGCTGCAAAGTGGACTCGTCGAATTGGGTTTTCCCCTCCGTGTTGCTCTCCCCACCATTTGCTTTTCCCTTTTCCTCATAACATTTTGAATAATCAATACTGTTCATGCACATGTCGACATGATAAACGAGCAGCAAGAACAGTTCGTCTTCTTCCATGTTTAATTTTTCCTGTATTTTTATATAAAGCATGGGCCTCGATTTTTTGTCACTTCCGCACCTGAAGATGTTGGTCTTCATTAAAATGTCCTTAATGTGCACAGGGTTGATGAAGGTGTTGTCTCGGTTTCCCGTGGTGCTGAATGCATTGGTGTTGCACTTGGCCACTGCGGCCGTCTCTGTTGCAGTGGCCATGGCCTCGTCGTGCATCGAGCTTGAGCCCCTCTTTATCTTCCCCTGGCTTGTGTTAAAAATCGAAATGGTCATTTGTCTCCACAAAATAAATTTTATAATTTTATTCGAAGTTTTTAGCAAATTATAATCGTACGTGTCTAGAAAGCGCAAAATGGTGATATCACTAAGGAAGTATAAATCACTGTAAAAAATATTTATTTTTTTTTTTTCATCATTTTGTTCA